ACGTCGATATCAACCTCGATTTTGATACCAGGATGACACCTAAAATCTGTTGGTACTCTGTGTCGTATCCTTTAACGAGGAGTCGATATTAAACTCAGGTGGCGTAGTCATTTTCGAATACGGCTACCACACGACACAAATCGGGGGACATTCAATCGCGAGCGTGTCTGAGATCTCCAGACACATAGGTTGTTTTGATATATTTTATATTTGATATTTATCAGGAAGATTCACCGGCTATCGCAATAATTCTCAACGTAGTTAAATTAATAGTGTGTCTTTTATTGCATGGTTCTCAGTTGTAGCTAAATTGTGCAAAATAAACGAGTATCTGAAATATTTAGCAAACAAATATTGTGAATATCGCAAATTTCGTAAATGTGCTTCATTGGCTTCGTATTGTACCGTGGTTAAGTCTGTGCAGTAATCGACGAATTCAATGGTATATATTATCAATGAGTAAATACAAAGCGTACAATATACCTTTTTTCTATATATGTTAAAAATAAAACTCAGTTCATCACTGTGTTCGGGAAAAGCAAATTATTGCTGAATTTTTCAAGTTTATTTTTTTTCCGCAGCGAAATCACTAATACGTTATTTTAAACAGTTGTGGTTAGCTTTCTCTAAATGCAAAATCATAAACAAATTAAAATCACGTCATTACTGTATTTATTTTAGCTGGGATAAATTTTCGCTGAAAAGACTTTTTTGAGTGTTTCGTATGGAATTTATTTTCACTGATTTTTAACAAGTTGAATGTAAAATATTATACGAAAAAAGGTATATTCGCTAGATTGTATTTTCACTAAATCATTTTTCAGTGAAAATAGCGAAAATTAATTCCAAGCAGGATTACGGAAGACAAGCTACTTTTCGCAAAATGGGAAATTCTTGTTAATCACAAGTCATTCATTACATATACAAACGTTCCAGTCAAGATAAAAAAATGACGGGAAGAAAAATTACTTTCCCGGGTTGTATTGGTCAGCCAAACTACGTCATACAACATACAAAGCTATGTTTATTGATGACTCATCTAAATGAGCAAACAGATAACAGCCCTAACACCTACTTTCGAAGAATGTGAGTCCCAATTCAATTATATCATCCCCTCGCGGTGGCCATCCCTTCCGGAAAGGGCGCCGAATCACTTAGGTGTGGATCGGCGTGTCGTACATAGCAGCCTGAGCCGCTTCGCTGCGATCTATTGAAAGTAAGCCTCCAGTGTGATTTTTTTCTCTGAAATCTACGGATATGTATGGTATTTCAACATGCATTGTTATAGAGTGAGTCGCAAAAAGTTTGGACGACCTCTCATAATGTAAGTTATACAGCACATATAAACGGTCGCCCACACGCGACTACCTAAATCGAGTACTATGTATGCCCGAACATTCGATGAGTAGCGTGTAGTTAACAGACACCGGTCGGCCACTGCAGCGGAAACACGTTTTGTTATATGAGCATCTCCATATATAGAATTACGCGTCATCGGTATGCTAATGTTGATGTCATATTCAGGTCAAAAACTAGATCGAGGACGCGTCAACCTTCCACACGTCAAGATGGTATCACTCACTATATAAGCGGGTTACACTGTCTAAGTTGGCACACTCAGCACAGGATCAGCGAGTCACTTGGTGAGTGATACCCACACTGTACAGTCATTAATGGATGCGTTTTTATCTCATTCTATTGTGAAAGATACGCTTACTTTCAGACCATAGACAGACAGACTAGCAATGCCTTTTATTTTAGGTGTTAATATTATGTTATGTAATATTCATGTCATGTATGTACTGTCGGACGTTGCCTTGTTTGGAACATACCTATTTTTGAACAAAATTGTCTCCACAGGACCAACCCTGCCATCACAATTCAGTAAATTCAACAGAAACAAAATTCACAAAGATAAAAAAAAAAACAATTCAGGGACTGTAAGAGCTTTGCGCGGTTGTTTTTCTTTGATTCTGGCATATTCCAGTGTAAACATGTCATGTGATTAATGTCTTAATTCCAAGCTTAATCTCTCAATTACTAATCAGAGGCTCGGCTAAACGATTGATATTATACGGTGTCGTGCAAGGGCACATACACACACAACAAAAGTGTGTTGACCTTTATGTTATTCGTTCTTCTAACAGGCACTACAATTAATGGAACGGAACAACGATTCAAAAATGGTCAAAGGTAAGAGTTCATATAAGTTATTGTGGTGACTACGCAAATTTTCAGCCTTCCTCTGTGAAGCTTCAAACGCTCAGATTTGAAATCAGTATGTTGCATTTCCCCTTGTCCTATGACCTGCGTTACAAAGTAAATCTGCATGTTCATAATTAAAAATACTTATTGTACATATCCGAGCGGAGGACTGTTCCACGTAAATAGTATTTTTCCAGGTATACCAATATTTGCCAGTACGCCATAGGAAGTAAATGGGCTGTATATGATTGCTTTGAGGGAGACAATGTCAAAAATAGTTTTTGATAGTAATTAAAAAATACGTGTTGTTGCTGTTGTTTTTTCGAGTACCAGTACTAGAGCGCTTGTTCACACCTTCGCTGACTCGTTGATATGAACAATCGAAAAGTAAACTAGCTGGTGCTGATAATCACTCGCGAACAATACGTGCATCTTTGATATGGTTAATCGTATGCTGTACTCCCGGGGCTGCACTGGCTCATATTGATATATCTATACATTCAGAAAGATAAATGGTCCAAGTGCAGCGAGTTCAAATCTCGTGCAAGCAAACAATGTATTTGTATTACCCATATCAAACGCGACCCTTTGCGCCACCAACCCATTTATTGTGCTTTGGGTTGGTATATATAGGAATGATTTTGTGTAAATAAACCCACTTCCTGAAATGTAGTTGTGATGTATGAACAAAACAAAACATCGAACTTAGACTTTAAGAAAACCATTGTTGAAGATGGCGGTAGTAGTGGCGCCGCGCATGTGCGACATTTGTGTTGATAAACATTGATTTTACCATAATCCTATGCGCTTTTCTAATGAAATCACGAGTAAGAATTTTGCTCTGGGTTTCACTTGCAATGCCGCCGGCGACTTCTTCTAAACACCAAAACAGAATACTTAACTAAAACTTGAAAACATCTAGCTTGTACTAGCTGGTGTGCGCAATAGTCAAAATAGCCATCTTTGTTTACTAGTATACGAGACCTATATCTCACGCATGCGCGGCGCGACGACTACCGCCCTTCAAGGCCTTTCATTGAAAAATATACAAATAAATGTTTCAGAATGAGAATGGGATTAACCGTTACCAAACGTGGGAGGAAAAACTGTGGGAAAAATGCATTACAAGAACCTTTAAGAAACTTTTCTCGAGGCAATTTGTCTTTAAATGTGTCCTTTTGTTTTCTTTTATTAAATGTATTATATTATTATGTTATAAATATATTTTTTTCCTGTCCAATTTTCTGTACACGTGTTTTTTTTTTTGATCGATGCATCACGTAATCACATGTAGGTTTAATGGAAAGACTGAACGATGGGGAGCACGTGATCATAGCAGAGGGGTTCGTGTTTTATTTCGAAAGAATGGGATACCTCCAAGCTGGGTCATGGGTGCCAGAAGTAGTACTCAATCATCCAGACAAGGTCAAAAGTTTATATAGAGAATTTGTAGACGCCGGAAGTGACGTAGTATTAGCGTTCACCGTACGTATATGACAGCGTCACACACTGTCCAGTTGCTCTTTGACGATAAAGGCAGCATTTGCTCTGTCTCACAATTATAGCAGCGAGTTAGAATCCCAATTATTTACATAATTATGCTGACATCATATATGGAAGTTGGGTCACATCCTGCTAATTAAATATTTGTTTCTATATTCATTAAACTTGCTTTCATTAATTATAAGTTGTCCAACGATTTGATTGATCTTTTCTCTCACTCCAACTGATAAAACAGTATTATGCAACCCGTGAGAAAACCCGTTTGATTGGCAAAGAAGATACCCTGGAGCAACTCAACAAAAACGCACTGAAAATGGCTCGTGAAGTTGCTGATGAAAAAGGGGTTCTTATGGCCGGAAATATTTGTAATACTAATATATACCAACCTGGTAAAAAAGATCGCGAAGATGAAATCAAAGGAATGTTTAAGGTGTGTATCTTAATTATTCGAATGTGTTAAATAGTGTATATTGCCGTTTAACCCCTTTCTCTATAGTCAAATTTAATTATGTTCATTTGGGCGAAACTTACAAATCAACATTGTTTCATCAAAATTACAATGGAAAGGTTTATGGTGTTTAATAACTAATAATCGTAGTGTCTTTCTTTGTAAAGGAAATGATTGAATGGTCGGTTGAGGCTGGTGCTGATTTCATATTAGCGGAAACATATGCACATCTTGGTGAAGCCTTGTTAGCAGTTGAAGCGATTAAGGAGCACGGAAAAGGTACCGAGTCCTTGCGTTTTAATAGAAATCGTGTAAATATATTTATACACGCCTCCCATATTTATAAATGATGTTACACCTCACATTTATTTTACAGGCCTTCCCGCGGTCGTTACATTCGCTCCATTTGTTACAGCGACGAAAAACGGAAAGGCGATAACTGCCGATAAAGTACTGCTGACTGAGGCGTGCAAGCAGGTGAAGGAGGCTGGAGCGGACGTGGTCGGTCTCAACTGTGGCCGTGGTCCGAATACAATGTTGCCTTTGATGAAAGATATTATGAAAGTTTGTCCTGTAAGTTTTATTTCGAACAATAATTATATATAAGTATGTTTGCATCAACAAGGTTTGCGCACAACGTTATACATCTCACTGAACTTTATAAATACGTCTTCTTAATTGCTACAGGGCCCATTTGCTGCTATACCAGTTCCATACAGAACATGCGATAAGGAACCTACTTTCTTCATGTTAACTGATCCTGTTACAGGTAAGCATACACTGAGAATGTGTTATTTTTTTTTATTACGTTTGTGTCAGGTGGCAGTTGCTGTCACTGTATGTGCAAATAATGCACCTATATAACTCATTTTAATGTATTCAAACATGTTGATCACAGGTCAGAGTGCAGGTCGATACAATCTATGTTTATAAAAATGTACTACTGCTTTATGTAACTAAATCAGTGGACAATACTTCGTGCTTCACAACTCATTATTTTTTTTCTTTCTATAGGAAAAAAGGTGTTTCCAACTGAAACTGAGGTGTGCTCATGCAGTCGGGAGGATTTCTCAGATTTTGGTAAACAGTGCAAAGACTTGGGAATCCAATTCGTCGGTGTATGCTGTGGCAATCGACATTACTATACAAGGTCATTGGCCGAGGCGTTAGGGCGAAAACCAGCATCCACAACGTTCTCGCCTGACATGACCAAGCATTACGTCTATGGTTCCGATGCCAAAGTCAGGAAAGATGTTTCTGAAGAAAGTATGGATCTGTACCACACCCTTAGGGATATCTAATAATCTAAATGTGAATTTTGAGATACCGATTTGTGTGCGAATAAAGAAAGTACTCTTAACAGTGTTTGCCTCATTGCCAATTTTTGTTTGCATAGAATTTATTTATCGACTATTTCACCACTATTGGCAAATGCACGCGTGAAAGCCTACACGTGGCTTCCCTCTTATGGACAATTATTTCTCAAATATTCTGGTCGATGTAATCTTATTTCTGCGCACTCTGCAATCGCTATATTAACGACCTAATGAATATCAATTGTAGATTCGATGAGATAAATATAAATGGTGAGCAATGAGTGGAAGGACGGTAACCCTGTATACGGCGATTAACGAGAAGATAAGTATTTTCGGACATTTAAATGCCCGTGCCATTACCAGGCCGACAGCTCAGAGTCTCTTTGCTCAAAGCGGGCAGAAATACCGAATAGTTCTAAAGAGAAACCACGTTTTGGAACATTATCAACCTGTAAAATTCAGTTTATTTGTCAGCATTGCCGTAACACGAGAATTGTATGTCCACATACCTAAAATGACGCCGGATAAATGCG